AGAAGCAGTGGTGGAGGATTGTAAAAAGAAATTAAAATAATTTTTTGAAAATAATTTAGATGAAAGTACTGATTTAAGAATGGTTTGGGACACAAGTAAAGTTTTTATTTGAGGTTATTTTGTACAACATAATAGCGAACTCAAAAAGAAGAGTCAGAAAACACAAGCTATGGGTGAGATAAAGAGAAAAGAAGAATTAAATTTCCAGAGGAGATAAGTATTTCTCAACAAATTAAGCTTTTACAATGACTATGTTAACAGTAAGAGAAATGGAAATAAAAATGAACTATGTAAAGAAAAAAAAATTGAGTTTGCAGACAAAGCAGGGAAACAGTTGGCATATAAATTATGAAAAGAAAAAGAAAATGATATTGAAATTACAAGAGGGCGATGCTGTGTTAATGGGTAGCGTGGCTATACAAAAAGCATTTCATCAATGTTATTCCAACTCATATAAAGGAAATGATATCTCTCTGGAGAAAATAGATGAATATCTAAAACAAAATTTACCGAGGATTACAGTGGAACAGAAACAGATTATGAATGGACCTGGTTTCTGAAGCCATAAAAAAGATTAAACCAGGAAGGGTGCCTGGATCAGATGGATTATCAGGTTCTTACTCTAAATGTTTTGAGGGTGAACTTTTACAACCTTTACAAAACACAATGAATTCTATCTTACAGGGAGGAAAGATGCCAGAGAGTTGGAAAGAGGCCAATATAGCACTAATACCTAAAGAAGGATAGGATTTGACTTTAACTAGAAATTGTAAACCGATATCATTATTGAATAATGACTACAAGTTGTTTGCAATGATTCTGATAGATTGAAAATAATCTTGCAAGAATTTATTCATGAGGATCAATGTGGTTTTTACCTAAAAGACTATTAAAGGACAATGTTAGAAATGTGTTGGACATTTTGGAATATTTGGAACAACATAGTGAAAAACAAGCCACATTGGTTTTCTTAGATGCAGAGAAGGCCTTTGACAATTTGAACTGGGTTTTCTTGTTTAAAGTTTTGGAAAATATGAACTTTGGAAAGAACTTTATAAAATGGGTAAGGTCGATTTACACTTCACAGAAAGCACAAATAATTATTAATGGAGATCTAACAAAGCCTTGTGAGATACAAAAAGGAACAAAACAGGGATGCTCACTGTCTCCTCTCTTGTTTATTTTGGTTCTTGAAATACTGAATAGAGATATAAGACAAGATGAGGGGATTGTGGTAGTAAAGATTAAAAAGAAAATGTATAAGTTAAGGACTTTTGCAAACAACTTGATGTTGGTTTTGGAAGATCCTACTTTCACATGTACACCTATTGTCACCTAAATGTCACAATTCATACTTCAGACATACACTTCTGCCATTGCATTCAAAATTAACCTATACCACTTTCCTGTTACCAGTTCAACATCAGGCCACCTTAATTCAGATCTATGACAACCTTTTTTTCTTAGTTTCACAGACACTTAAGAAACACTACACAGATACTACACATTTGTTTCATTAATTCATGCTGTTTACTATTCATCCATTCCAAGTTATAGTCTTCCATATGCCATGGACTCATACCCCTCATCGCTTTAGGCTTTCATGTAATTCGTTCTAATAAGATAAGGTGTGGCCTAGATTACCAGATTTATTGGTGCCTATGCCACCTGCAATAATCCCCCCTAAGGGTAAGGACAATATCAGTCAGTTTTGGCACATTTGGGCCAGTATGCCAAAAATTCAAAAACCAGTTTTACCCCAACATGCTCACAACATCCTATGCAAGCTAGGATATTTAATATAGAAATTAGTTCGCATGCTGACATACTGATGCCCACATCTCATCACCTAGGAGGGTGCAGTATACTGATATACCCACTCAGCATTAATTGTCAATTTATTGTCAATGAAAACTCATTCTGTTAAAAGGCACATGTTATTTACATTTTACTGAAATAAGTATGTTAACTTGCTAAACTGAATGTTACCAAATTATTAAAATATGCTTTTAGGTATAGACTAGTAATTTAATACAAAGAGCTACAATTAATTGATAGTGGAAAAGACTGTTTACATTTGATAACCCAAATGACTTTTTAAAATAGTGCATTCTCAGCTGAATGTCATGAGTTGAAATTGGATACTACAAATAAACTACCTGCAATTCATTTATTTTATTAATTAATCAGATTTATATGGCCACCTGTCTCACAAGAAAGTGACTCTGGGCGATGTACAACAGTCCAATAAAACAAATATATAAACACTCATACATAAAACCATTATATAGTAATTATTAAAACATTAAAAACTATAAAAACAGAACTAAAACAGAAAAGAAAAATAATAGGAGAAGGGATGTTAATAATAGAGCCGCCTTATTAGTTCATCTGTCCCCTGGAGTCCCCAGGCCTGCTGACATAACCAGGCCTTGAGGGACCTTCGAAAACTCAGGAGTGATGGGGCTGATCTCACCTCTGAGGGGAGAAGGTTCCACAATGCAGGCACCACAGCAGAAAAGGCCTGCCATTTAGGGCCCGCCAAACATAGCTCCCTGGACAACGGAACCTGTAATATACCCACTCTCCTAGATCTAGTGGGATGGGCAGATGAAATCAGGGAGAGGTGGTCCCTCAAATAACCTGACCCCATGCTGTGAAGGGCTTTAAAGGTCAACACTAGCACCTTGAATTGGACCTGGAAACAGACTGGTAACCAATGCACTCGCGAAGCAGAGGTGTAATGTGGGTGCTTCCAGAAACACACATAACTGCTTGCACTGCCGCGTTCTGCACCAGCTGAAGTTTCTGGATACTCTTCAAGGGCAGTGCATTGCCGTAGTCCAACCTGGAGGTGACCAGGGCATGAGTGACTCTGAGTAAGGCCCAGTGGTCCAGGAATGGGCACAACTGGTGCACAATATGAACTTGTGCAAAGGCTCTCCTAGCCACAACTGCCACCTACTTATCAAGCAGGAGTTGTGAGTCCAGGAGGACTCCCTGGTTGTGCACAGGGTCTGTTAGGGGCAGTGCAGTCCCACCCAGTACCAGCATTGGTATAATCCCAGAAATGGACAGCCTCCAAACCCCAAGACACTCAGTGTTGCCAGGGTTCAGTTGAAACCTGATGTTCCCCATCCAGACCCTCATAGCCTCCAGACACTGGGATAAGACATCCATAGCATCGCTTATAATACTTACACATGTAATACTTATGTGTGCAGTACCTTTAACAAAATGTGGCTTTGGCTGCTTGATCTATTGGTGGGGTTGTACCTTGAAGCTATTTTGCCTCTGGAGGACTTGTGGCTACAGTTGAAAGAATTAGCTAAGCCCTGTGCTTCAGATTCTGCATTTTGAGAATCCAGTATTTCTCTCTTCATAAAATCAATATTGTTACAGAGGAATGCAAGATTTAATGAAATCAGATTATCTGAATAATCAAACAAATGAAATTCAAAATCATTGTTTTTCTGGGATCACATCTTGAGATATGACATAAAGGATTTTGTTTCTTAAGCTTTATCTCATTTTTTAAAATTTCCAGATGTGATTTCAGAGCACAAAATTCATATTTATTTATTTATTTATTTATTTATTTATTTAATTAATTTGTCCCTGCCCACCTCCCCACAATGGGGGACATATGCTGAATTTTGAAACCTGAAGACATGGTTTTGCCAGTGGGCCTGGGGATCCCAGGTTGCTGCAGAGCCCATCAAGTGTTTGTTTGAATGTATTGTTGTTGCCAGGGGGGTGGGGGGTCTAGTGGGCTTGTATTTGGGGTTTTATTTATATAAGCTGCCCAGAGTCACCGTGAGTGAGTTGGGCAGCCATATAAATTGCTTTAATAGATAAAAAATAAATATGCGGTTAGTATCTGTTGGACTTGCGTAACCTAGGTTTTTCATAATAGGCAAATGAATTACAGTGGTACCTCTACTTACAAATGCCCCTACTTACGAAATTTTCGAGATACGACCAGCT